AGTCTGAATGTCCTGCTCTCCTTGACTTCCATTAGAAATGGCAGCAGTGTTGAGGAAAGAAAGGTCACCGTCAGGTTGTGCTGAGGTGAAGTGCTGCCTCGTCGCCACAGATATGCCCTTCTGTCTACGGGCAGCTATGTGGGCTGACGGAAACAAAATTGTTTTGGGGCACAGACACATCAGCACGGCCTGCCTGACCGTCCACCACTGTGTGACATCAGGTGGTTTTAATGAACAACACCAGAACGTGTGGCGTGTTTGCACATGTGACACACACAGAATGGAAGGACTAAAAATATTAACGCCCAAGGCTTTATTTTTGTGCATGTAAATCACACTCCTAAAAAAGGTAAAATGTGTTATTAACACTTGATAAAGTGTGATTTATTTTTATTTTTCAGAATAATTTGTTTTCTTACAAGGTCAATGCACACAATTTGCACAATCCCCTCTTAGTTTGCGATCAAACTTCTCTGGAGTTGATCCGGTGTGTCAGCTTGTTAGAGGGATGTTTCCGTGGCTCCACTGAAATATGTTTATTTCTCTGTTATTTGTGTTAAACGACCCCAGCCTAATGGTCCAGATCTGTCCCATTCAGAGCAGGGCCAGGGGCAATATTTAGTGTCTGCTGATGCTCCAGCAGGCTGTGGAGAGGTGGTAAAGAAGCCCAGTCACCAAATGCCTGTGGTGATTACTTACTTGTTAATCTCTCTCTGCCCCACTGCAGACATCACACAAACCCCGTGGGCACAGAGTGGCGCTGGAAAATGGACCCGGCTGAGGAAATCCTACAGGACGCCATGGAGAAGCACCAGAACATGATTCGACAGTTCAGAGGTTGGTGCTTGAACTGCAGGTTTCTGCTCCTTTTCTCTGCAGTTCTCATTTCATAACAGCCCTGACTATTTATTTATCTGTCACCAGCGTCTGTAAATAAATTACATATGCAAATGTGCAGAATCTGAAGGCAGGTGACAACTTTGACTGATTTGATTCTTCTCAGCCTTTGTTTGTGACCAAGGAAGAACACAACCTGTGATGTATCCGTGTCCACAGGGACTTGAGGAACAAAAATCATTTTTAGGCTGGTTTTAGGGGTAAACATTTCAAAGCAGTAACTCAGTAGGTAGTACAGGAGGTTGTGGGTGTGAATCCCGATGTCAGCAGTTGGAAGGCAATACCTGGAGTGTAAGGCCCTTTCACTGGTCGTCAGAACTGTTAGCATTTGGGACATAAAATGAATTGCAATCGTGTTTAATGCAACATGTAACATTCATTCAATTTTGCCCTTGTCTCTCTCATCTGCTCCTCTATTACCCCTCTAATTGAGGGGTTGCTAAAACATATAGCCTGTACTTGCTTTTCCTGACCCGTGACATGTACACTGTTGATTACCACGTGCCCAGCCGTCCTACTTCCTGGTTTGACCTCCCTCTGAAAATACCGCAGCAAGTCCTATTATAAAGGAGCAGAGCTGTTTTTATAGAAACATTCTTTTAGCCAAATACTTAATACATCGTAGACACAATATCCTCCTCACAGCCTGCTTTATTACTATCTTTTCTCACAGTGTACCATTAAACATACCCACACATTATAGAAAATTAGATTTCCTAATGTGATTATAATGGAACAACAACAACTTATGTTCACAGACAGTTTCATCTGAGTGTATAGAAAAGGTAAAAAAAAAACATTTGTAACGGTTTGTTAACAAAAAAGGACACTTTTTACTTTGTATAATGGAGTAAATAGTAGTCTGTTGTCATCATCACCATCTGTTTCTGTTATTTTAGTACATTGCATTAGGTCGGATTCAGTAGCGTTTGCCACTGGGACCATTGCATTTCCCAGGATTCAATGCTCCTAACAGTCCAAACAACACTAAATACCTTCTGTCTGGTTAAAACAAATGGGTTCCTGCCTAACTCAACTAAATTATTCATGATTATCATACTCATCAAAGTGTCATGTAATTGTTTAATATTAAATATTCCAATATACACACATATATGAATATGTAAAAATATGTCATTCTATTGTCATCTCCTGTCTCCACCAGGTGTCCCTGGAGTAAAACCTGAGCGGTACGAGGAGGGTTTGGTTGTCAAGCACTGTGCCCTGTCCCTGGTGGGGGAGCCAATCATGTACCCCGAAATCAACACCTTCCTTCGCCTCCTCCACTCGCATAACATCTCCAGTTTCCTAGTTACAAATGCACAGTTCCCTGAGGAAATTAGGTAAGCAGATAGTAGAGTAGTAGAGGCGCCACATCTGGCCCACGGGCTGCCATTTTAGGTCCACTGCTCTGGCCGTTGGCTGTACCTTAGTGTTAGTTTGTGGTGTGATCCTCTTCATCACCATCCACACTACACTGCTTCACAAACAAAGACCTTTATAATGCATTAAGTGGTAAATGCAGTAACTCATCCGGTCATTTATGTTAAACAATAGAGTTTTTTATGTCTGTTAGCACTCAAAATGACAAGTTTTATATTCATATATAAAATGATGAATACATTTTATTGGTGGTCATTTAACAGCACACCATTACTTATTTTCTGTCTGATTAAAACTAATTGTTGTTTTTCACTGAAACTGCTAAACACTGTAACCTTCTGCTGAAACATGCACTTCCTTTAATTTGTTTTGACTACAACACCCTGCCAGCTCCACAAAATCTCCAAGTGATGATGAGACGAGCAGTCTTCTATAAAATTAACTGGGTTTTCCCACAGGATCCCGAGTCTCAGTCATGTATCTGTTGCTGACTGCACAGATGCTACATTTTTGTTTGGTCAGTAATTGTTACCAGTATGACCTTGATGCCCTTCTCCATTTCTGCCACCTCTGCAGCGTGAACAGTAATCCAGAGTTGTCCAGTGCAGTATACTGCCTGCACAACTGTAGGAACTTCATAAAAAATGAATTAAGGACAATACAGTGTAGGATGATTTCTAGTGGAACAGGTATACAGTTCACATGCACTGACTTCCTGGACTGCTGCTTGACACTTAGCTTTGTGTCACAATCAACAACAAAAGTTTTAGAAATTTTACTCCAGTTTGACCAGTTTGTCAAGGGCTCGCATTTAGAAAATAACAGTTACCATGTTAATTAATTCTGACTGTCTACTTAACCTAACCTTTCATGTTTTTGGACAGTGTGTCCACTAAGTCATCTCAGTCAGAATTGGTGAAAACCATCAAGGTGGTTCAAGGCAATGGCAGCTGACAACATCAATTTATTTTTATTGTGTTCTGCAGTTTGCTATTCCAGTACTGCAGTACTAACATGAGTCTCTCAAGACCTCATTTATTTTGTTAGTAAATTAATTAGCATTTTCTCTTAATCATCTGGTTCTTTTTCTTTCCCCTATCTGGCAAACTTTAATAAACTGTATTTGCTAAAGACAGTTTTTAACGTTTCTCCCTTACTTTCATCTTCCTCTGTCTTGTTAAGAATATAAAGGTGTTTCTGGCCTAGCTGACAGATACTGTTTTGTTTCCCATGGTTTGCAGGAGCCTGGTGCCAGTTACTCAGTTGTACGTTAGTGTGGACGCCAGCACAAAGGACAGCCTAAAAAAGATTGACCGTCCTCTTTTCAAGGATTTCTGGCCACGCTTCCTAGACAGCCTAAAAGCTCTGGGAGAGAAGGTAAGACGTCCACGGGGCTAATTGTATTCCACAGCAGAGAGATTAGCAATGTGAGCTGTTGACCTTTTCTTACTTCTTTTGAAAAACCCACAGCTTAAGGTGGATTTGATTTGTCAGTCAAATTTATATGTCATCTTGAGTGTTGTGTAGTTATAGAGAAAGAAATGAGATGTTTATTATATATCTATATACACACACACACACACACACACACACACACACAAATTACCTATCTAGGATTTCCTATTACATCTGCCTATAATGAGAGCCTAATTCTATAAATGGCTTGACAAACATCCGACAGCTTCATTACCTCTCAGTGGGATGCTGGTGACCAGCTCAGTTTGAGGAAAATATTTGGTGATTGGAAAAGTGCACTCAAGTTGAGTCTTTAATGCAATTTTCCCCACATGCCACCTTGTAAGTAGCTGTAAGACCTAAATTAATCAGCAGCCTTAAAATAAACGCCGACCACTGTGAGGTAAAACTGTCTTTGGCTGAAGAGGGAATTCGACTCCTCTACCTGCTCCCGACTCTTGACTTTCCAATCTTGTGACGGAAGTCCAATCAGAGAGCACTTTAGGGACTGAGGTAGTCGTTATCAACATTCTTCTCTCCAGCTCCCTGGGATGTTGGTTGTCATTTGAATCGATGGTCGGACAAGGTTAAAATAAAAGTGGATTGAATTGATTTTTATATCTTTCCTAGTACTTTCTGAATTCACCGTTGCAAAAAAAATCACCCAAATTCTTCACCATCATTGATTATGTTTTTTTATTATTGTGTCTGTTAAGGTTAAATCTTAGTTTTGGCCACTGCCTCCCTTCCAAGACAACACAAGTAGAAAAGGTTAAATCTGACACAGGTTTGCATGCACATTTACACCTCTCTCGCTCTCTCTCCCTCTCTGTGACAATATGGTCGGTCTGTGTGTAGCTTCACGTTTTCCAAAAATAAACCCTCTGTTCCCATCACCTCCGGTCTGCTGCTCACGGCTCTACAAGTCTCCATTTCATGGAGGGCTCCATTTCCTCAGCACTTGTCCATTACTTGCCAGCTCTATTCCATCTGGCCTCTCTGCCACTGCTCTGTGGGACTGGTAGACTTGTCCTCCTGTGTCAGATATGCTACAGAGGCAGCTCTAAATGCTTCACGTACCTGCTTCCACAGACCAATTAACTGCCTCTCGGTTGGGCTGAAAGGACTGAGTACCAATAGCTGACCTTCCAGTGAGCGTGAGAGAAAGTGAGTGCCAACTATTGATTTAAAAAAAAAAAAAAGTACACACTCCACTCTGATGCTGTTTCTTTTTATTTTTATACGACTAATCTTCACGGCCCATGTTCCCAAACTCTGAGAGACTTGCTGACCACAGTTATTGGCATCTTCAAACTAAAAATTTTTTTTTTTTCATCTTTTATTGAGACTAAGGGGATTTCAATCTGCCCTGTGATATGATTTTTAAAGCTGTTGCAATTAGTTTTGCATTCCATCTACAAAACAAAGAAAAATATTGCATTTTTTTTAGTGGACCCCCAGGCATAATATATAAATGGAAAAGGCCTAAAGTAGAGTCTTGTGGGACTCCCACAGGCCAGTGAGGATTGGTGTGAGTGTATGTACGGGTTAGTATAATGCTGACACACTGCTCAGAGTGTGATGGGAAGATCTTGTTGACTGTGTAGGCATCCTCTGAGCTGCTTCTTGGCCATGCTGTACACGCTACACACCAGAGTGTTCACCAGAACAACAACAACAACAGCTGATGAAAATAATTGTAAGCAGTGGGCCTAGAGTGTAGTTGCAGAGGCTGGTGCAGCAGCTGTTCTGTACTTCATTGTTTACAACCATGTTCAACACTTGTTAACGATGCGATATATATATTGTAGCTACATCATGTAATAGATGATGACAGGTCTGTAAGATTTGTGATAAAAATGTCCACTAAGCATGTACTGACTTTTCCAGACTGCCTTTCAAGAATGCAAATGTGGAGTTGGCACAGCACCATACCCATATAGTGATAAAAGTCACTTTGGATAAAAGCATCTGCTAAAAGCATAAATGTGAATATATGTTTTAATAATACACTTGCTGACCACATCAGTGTCCCCTCTCTTTATTATCTCCGTACAGAGACAGAGGACAGTGTACAGACTGACACTGGTCAAAGCCTGGAATGTGGAGGAGCTGCAGGCGTACTCTGAGCTCATCGCTTTAGGCCAGCCAGACTTCATCGAGGTCAAGGTAGAGCTCAATTACGTTCACATTTTACACACACACACACACACCTTTAAGGTGATTGTTACTGCTGTGTACAAGTCTTTATGTTTAGTCTTTATGCCATATTTATCACTTTCCAAGTTCTTTTCTGAACTGAGCTTTAATATCAATCAAATTGGTTCAGACCAAATTTGATGAGTTTTCTAAAAGTACATCATCTTGTTGTCCTACCAATTAATGTATCAAGAAAAAGTAAAAAAGACAAACATCCTGGTATTTATCAAATCTTAAACTTAATTTACTGTACTTTAATTTTTAACAAAAATATATAAAATGTCCCATTAACAAACCTCTGACCTGAAAGTGATTTAAAAGTGTCTGGGTTTTAAAAGCTAGGATGTCTTTTGTATGCAATCAATTATTTCCAAATGACTAGAAGTACCTGCTATAATTTGCCACCAACCTGGAAGGAACCACCTCCACAAAGCACTTAAATGACATCTATATTTATTTTGTCCTAAACACCAACGCTGCAGCTATGCCGACACTCGGCAGGATTAACAGAACAGCAATTTGTGATCACATCTATGAACCATAGCTGTAGCTCCTCACAACAATTCAAATTATTTTCAAGTGTCAAACTGTGTTAAAAATTCTATGTTTAATAGAATATATGGAGAACACTTCCCATCTTTATGATTCAGTTATTTCAATTACGTCTTTGTCACAACTCCCAACATGCATTTGTTTATGGCAGGTCTAATATGAATTTTGAAATAAAGCGATGTTGTCTCGATGAGCTGTGTACATACAGGGAGAAGCTGATGAATGTGTAGATAGATATATGGGCTTATATGAAATTGGATTTGGAACTGTGACTTTTCTGTGTTTCATGCTTTTATGCTCATGATGGAAACATCATAGACTATAAATAAAAAGTGGGCAGAGCTACGGCACTGCAGATGTGCCCTTCTTGTTAGAGGAAAAAAAATACCTTCATAAATTTCTGAAGCCATTATGTTCTTGATGTAACTATTGGCGTGATTTCAAGGTTTCCTGTAGAATGTGAGGGTATTTTGTAAATCATGACCTGACATGAAGTATGAGAATTGGAATGAAGTAGGAGGTTTAAAATGATTGCCTACTGCATGTAATCAACAGCTACTGACTTAGCCTTCTACAGAGGGAGACCTGGAACTGTGTTTTAAGACTAAAGGATTGCGGATAATATTTTGGGTGACCTGTGATCATAGGAAAAGTCTAAACTGGCCAATCACATGTGGTATGGTCGGCCATTTTGGTACCTATAGAACCCCCGCCCCCACTGAATGCAGGATCAGGGGCATACAGTGAAACTGCAGTAACAGATTCAGGCAGTACAAGCAAATGATGGTAGTCTCTCATGAATATAAAGTGTTCTGCATCCGT